TGAAGTCAAGACCTATCTCTAAGCTGCTGTATTAACCAGTTCTTTGCTGACAGTAACAGCAGGAACATACCACCTTTGAGTTTCTTCTCAGAGTGTGCCTCAAGAAATAATAATCTCTTCTCAACAGAGTAATTGAGTTTACCAGAGTTCCTCTGGTGTGCCCTAAAATGTCACAGTTCATTATAGTACTGTGCAATGTGAAGACAGTTACTGCCTTTTATGTTATAGAGAAATATATTTTTAAATCCTAGCTTTACCAACCTCCATTCTACAAGATTTTAAAAAGCCAACCGGATAAAACTTAGAGCAGCCTGGTCTTATCTCATTGCTGAGCTTCTCTGAGCAGGAGCTTGGATTAGAGAGCTCCCGAGGTTCCTCACAATAAGACATTATCCAGAGGAAGAAAAAAAAAGTAATATGCATCCCCAGGACTCCTACTTAAACTACGCATAATCATTTAGTGAACATCAAAATACCAGGATTTAAGTATAAATTCAAATTACAAAACACCACAAAAATAACTAAAAACGTTTCCTTAAAGCAAATTTAACAGTTCAGCATGTTCAACAAATACTTTTACTGTAATATAACTAAAATATTTAAGCTTGTAGGGGTAGTTTTTATACACAAAGTGAAGAATCTATTGAACAGATTTCTGCACACAATTTTTAATGAAAACTCAATGAAAGAACATGAACTAGCAACAAGGCTTCATTTTTTTCTTTGTTGTACAGCACTGGATTTACATGTAGCATTATTAAATTGTAAGATATCGAGACAATAACATATCTAAGATATAAACATCATTTGGAATGAGTCAATTTTCACTAAGGCAATGAGTCAAATTTCCCTATTAAAAACTTACTTGAATACAAAAATAGGAACTTTAATGAACAAGCAACAAACACAAACATATATTTTCTGATCAAAACAGTATGTAATAGAAATTCCAAGTTTATGTATTACAAGAAAAAATGAGGTAACAAGTTCAAGTCATGGTTGACAGAAAGTTGCAGACTTTCATGCTTGTCTCAGAAGAATCCCTTTTTTTTTTTTTTCCTAAATGTGTTTTATCAGCTTCATAAGATGCCAAAATATAGAATAAAGCTTGTTTTAAATAAAAGTATTTTCTTTGAGGGTGAATAAGCAAGTTCACCAAAGTTACCAGAAAGGCCAAGCAGCAGTTGCAGTTTGCCAGATACACTATTCAGTTTGTATATTTGAATTATGCTCAAAGGCTGAGACAATTTAGTACAGTGTTTATCTGGGCTCATTCAGTTGACTTAGAACTGTATACCATGCACCAAAAGCCAGACTCACATCATAACATTTTTTAGCAACTTTTTTCTCTCCAAACCCCATTTTTTGATCAAAAGCTTTCAGATGGGGGAAAAAAAAAAAGAGAAACCACAACTTAAAGAATGTGGAAAATATTTTTAAACAAGGAAGATGTCTGAGGAAATGAAGATCTACTTGAGGATGAAAATATGTACTTTTGTATGTCTTAATTATTTTAAATACTAGATTTGATTAACAAACTTCAGTAAGAAAAAAAAAGCCTCCCTGCACTATCTATGGTTAAGAAAAGGACTGATCAGTGTCAGTGAAGTTTTTTAAAAAACACCAGGCTTAGGCTACATGTTACTTTCATCCATTTTCGTTACACATACTGATGAGAGCAGTGCTAAGGCTGTAGTGTATTACAGGATGTGGGAGTTCCCAAGTAATATGACTTCATAATTCAACATTAAGATTCATAGTTTTAAAAAGGCAAGAATTTTAATTACAAGAGTTTGTCTTCTGTGCAAGTCTTGTAATTCTTCAATATCCTCTCTCCAGCAGTTGACTAGAGTTGCACTGCTAGTGAACAGCATTAAGACTTTGCAGATGAGGATAAATTGAAGTAACTAGACTTCTGCTCTATTAGGCCCATGGAATATGAATGGGATTTTAGTTATATACTAGAGAACATTTAATACTTACAATTATTTACTGAAATAATGTTCTAATAACAAAACTCTTTTGATTTAAATAATGTGCTTTTTTGACATTTTGGTATAAGTAGTCAGAAAATAACAATAAATACCAACATATCCCACATTTACACTCCTGAAATAACAAGACCTGATTACTCACACTTAGACATAAAAAGTGCAGAGAACACTTGGAGAAGAGGACATATCAGACCAGTGAGGACATATTATAACAAAGTCAAGTTGAACATTTTTCAGGCGTGCAGATTAAAAACGACGAGTAGTAAGATGTAGGCTAAAACATGACTTCCACACCTGTGATTTCTGACCTTGTTAACTCCTGTCAGACCTCTCCAGTTCATGCAAAACATGAAAATGCCTTACCTGCATCATGGTTTTGACAGCAGCCCCCTTCAAACCTTTGTTGCAGGCACTTGGCTGAGCTTGTCAACCCAATAGGCAGCAACATAGTTCCCACCTCACCAGCCACCCTCGCCATGCAGTGCCACTGCACCTCAACCTGCCCACGTCTCCTATGGCTGCTCAGGCTCCTGCTGTGCAGTTCCACATGTGCCTTCCCTGTGCTCCAGCCTCCAACTAGAACCACTCCATTTTGTTTCTCACAGGGTAAGTAAATATTGCCAATGCCAGAGTAGAACTTAGCTTTCCTATTTATGGAAGAAGTGAACTTGCCCCAGCAGTGTAATTTCAGTGGAGCATGAGCCAGTCTCAGTGATTCTCCAGTCCCCTACAGCTAAACTCATTGGAATGGAGACCACAAGGCCTTTTCTTTTGAAAAGCGCCTAGCAACTGATCCACAGCTCCTGGAGAAAAGGCAAATGCATAGAAAGCATTGCCACATACAAGACAACATTAAATTGCCCTTCCAGCAGTACACTCCTCACCCAGAAGCACTGGATGAACTTCACCCTTGCCAAAATGCAGGGTGCCAAAGGAAGAGGCTCAGTGCCCTGCTAGAGTTACTAGGGTGCAGAAGGAAAGGGCTCCATTCAGCAATACTTCTCCATCACACGTGGAGTGCCATCAACACACAGCATCATCCGAAAGGCAAGGAACAAGAAGTAGCACAATCCCCTTCTCTACCCCTGACACATTAAAAGCCCAGGGAGTCTCCAATTTATTTTTTGTGTTTTTTTTTTAAATTCAGGGCAAGCAGACTGCCTGCAGAGAGCACCCTTTCAGCCAGCACAAGCAGGTAGGTGTGTCTACCTAGTTGATAATTTAGTATTGTGGAATGCCTCTACAAAAAACATGTCCATCCTGGAAGCTTCATTTTCCATGTCTTTCATGCATGTGTTTCATGCATCTTTATTTATTTATAATAAAAACCTTACCTAGTGCAAAATTAGATTTATTTACAAGGGTTTAAAAAATCTGTATTTCCTTCAGTAACAGCTCACTAACAAACATAAGCTACTATTAGCAAGACAAAACTCTGGTCTGTTGAGAATCATCATGAGAAGTGACCCTCAAAATGCAGAGTTATTGTCAGAAGATGAATTCTAACAACTCTTATCTAACAGGACAAAAAACTAAAACCAGCCACTCATACTACATACACTCAGTAGAAATAAAAATGCAAAGTGCATAGAAATAAAAATGCAAAGCACAATAAAGTTTTGTAACCTCTATTCTACACCACAAAAATTACAACTGGCTAGTTTGAAAACATATCTTCAGTCATGCTCAATGCAGAGTGAAGCACAGTTACTATCTTGGCATACTAATAAACATATGAACATATGCATTATGACAGAGGAGATCTTGCAGCTACCATTTTTTAAAAAACAAACACTACTACTCATGTGTGGACTTTACACCAACTCTTTTACACAAAAATATTGATAAGAGTATCAACACACAAACAGTTCCAATTAACTCATTACAGAACACCAATAGATGTGCAACACTTGTAATACTCCTTGAACATGCACATAGCACTCTTACAAATCCCCATGTCTTCTAAAACATTTAATAGATGCACTGATGACAGCTGAAGTATAAAAATAAACACAATCATTCTATTAAAAAATTAGTGCAATTTTTTTTCTCATTTGAAAATGTGTATTTTTTTTTCCAGATATGTTTAATAGTAAGATTTTCTTACAAAAACCAAGTCCTGCACAATTGCAATTCCATCTCTGCTCATTCTGAATTTAATGACATATCTGATGACCTGGTATTGCACAACCTTTGATCAAGAGGTTAAAAAAATTAAGCTAATATTTCTAGCTCTGTTCTAAGTTTATTAGTTCCTTCAGTTATTCTCCATGGTCTCAATACATTATGTGTTTTCTTGAGAGTGACCCATTGACAATAATTTCTAAGAAGTGAGATATATCCATCTTAATTCATTTGTATGATTAAATAAACAGACCTAGCTTTCTTAGAGAACAGAGCACAGCATTCCTTGTGTCACACATTGTAATTCAATTTGAAGCAGAGCTACGCTTCTCTCAAATATATATAGGAAAGTTGAAAAATGTTTTCAACTGTCAGAGGACCGTTCAATTCAAGGCTGATTAAAACTTCATAATCCAGAAGTGTTGTAAAAGTCCCTTTTCTTCCAATAACTCCTCAACGAAAGGCTGACATCCAGTTTTATCAGTCATATAAAGAACGTGTGCAAAAATAATTTAATGTGAATATTCTATGAAGCAGTCAATTTTACTAAGATCTCAGACATTGACACAATGCTTCCTGTTAAAGGGACACCTGCACTAACCAGTGTTCAAAGGCTCACGTTAAGCTGATTAAACTATAATGTTCTCCCAGATCTTTTTCCAAGACATTTTCTCATACCTTTTTTTTTTAAAAAAAGAAAAACCAACAAAGATTACATTGCAAATCTGAAAGTCAGTCCAGTTTGGGGCGTTTTTTTTTGGAAGGCTGGGTTGACAGGTATGTTTCACCACAGTATTTTTTCTACACAATATGGGAGAAGGTCCCTTTAACAAGGAAGGAGACAGGTATCACTTAATCAGGATGTGGGAATGGAATCTGTACCTATGGGTAAATGGCAATGCGTTCTGGGTTGGTTCAGCCCTTGTTTCTGAGTTCGGTGTCACTTCCGGAGTCGCTCTCTCGTCATCTGTCCCATTAATACTTTCTGGCGTTAAAGGAGACTGAATATCCCCTCCAGCTGATTCCTTAAGTAAGATAAACAACACATTAGAATTACAAACTGACCTGCCCAGGAAGGCTATGTGCATTTAAGCACTAACATTAACTTAAATTATACACAAAGACTTACAAAGTTTGTGGAAAAAGTGACTTTCTGGAATGCTATGTGAGTTTCTATGCTGGAACAAATGTTTCACATGTTTTTATGGTCTCTGAATCATTAGCTGGCAGACTCATGCCACTGGCAGTCAGTACTGAACAGAGAAGAGCTACGAAGAACAGCACTGCCAGGGAAGTGTACAGAATACTTAATGAGAAAACAGTATTATACTTCACAAAAAAGGAAGCTGCAATTGGCTTGGTTTATTCATGATTTTAGAACCACATACTCCTCCTTTTCTTCTGTTCCATATTTAGTCACCATTAAAAAGTGGCTTGATATGTGCAGTGAAGTCTGCTTGTTTTATTTTAAAGACTCTTTTGTGACTGCATGTGTTTTGTTTGTAAGAGATTGAAATTTAAGGGATCTTTTGATTAATTCCCCTCTGTTAGGTTTAGTTTACATACATACATTTTTATACTGCTACTTGGCATCACTGGAGTGCTGCATACTTACATACAGCAAGGCTAGAGCTCCTTTAGAAAATGCAGATGTCTGACAAACTCTTAAATAGTAGAATAGACATGAGTCAGACTCACATTTACACATCATGTTGAAAGACACTAATCCTCAGAGCACATGCAAGTCCAGGACTGGTGAGCAAATCAGAGTTCAGTATCCTCCAGAAACTCATATATGATACAATAGTGGTTTTACATCATAGGAGAGCTGCTAATGCTTTCTTCCTAAATGCATGAAATATCTATTTGTAGGTGTCATAAGCAGGAAATATCAGGCCTTATAATATGTTACTGATTTACAGGAAGACTTGTTATTTTCAATTCAAGTACTGCATTTTCCATATAATAGCTATACAGTTGAACATTAGAATTAAGTTAACCTGCTCTCCCAGCTAGACAGGTGATAATCTCTTTTTAAGCTGACCACTGTTTCTTCCCCAGCTCTGTATCAGTATGTCTGAAGCTATCAGGGTGTCTGAAGCTATAATTGTATGGAATAAAAACTTTCATTATACCAGAACATCTCATGAACATGTTCATAAACTTCTTTTACTCACTCCAATTATTATAAAAGGGAACATCTTATTTGTAAACATTTGTAAAAATTTTATTCTTTGTGTCTTTTTCTTATCTATAGTTCTTTATTCCTAGCCAGCTTCATAATAGTTGACTGCAAATAAATTATTTATCAGGCAGGGATAGTTTAGAGTGTGTGAGAGCACTGATTAACCTGTATTATTGGTGGAAGAAATACATACTAGAATGTGATGCTTTCCTTGCACAAAATCAGTCCCTCATGAATTCACAGGCAGTGAACCTTCAGGTAATACATAGACTGTGATGTTTGAATTAATTTTTGTCACTTGAATTTCAATCACATTAGAAGTCTATGAAAAATACACCTAGGTGGAACTAGCATGAAAGGTTTTCTTCTATTGAATTAATTCTTATACATTCACACCTAAACATTTTAATAAATAGGCCCAAAGCTTATGGATCTAGCAAAACTGCTGTAGGAATTTTAGCTAAAGATACAAGCCATCCAAATTTTTTAGGGTGTGTTATGCATTTTTTAGAATATCTAGTGTAGTTTGGGAAGAGGAGGAAATAAAAAATAAACTCTTGGGTCCATAAAGGCTTTAATTTAATGTCAGTGGAAACTGTTTATTAAATCAGATGATAATACACACAAAACCATGTATAAAATATTTCATGTGCTTAATACTCTTGTCAACTCTGCTATCCTTTCACACTTAGCTTTAATTCAGTTTCAGTTCAGTAAAACTGTTCTACAGAAATCAAGATTTATTTTTCTACTTTTAAAGTACTAATACTTAATAGTTTTGAGTATAAAATAACAAGATTCTTTCTTCCTGAAAGTAGGAAACAATTTGCATTCTTATAATAAAAAATAGGACTTACATTATAAATAGCAATTTATATATGTGGAATTAAAACAGTGTAAGCTAACTATTTCTGCTTTTTAATCATAAGAATTTAATAAGAAGGTGCAGAATGGAGACACCTGCGCATGTGCATTGTATAACCTAATGAATGCTAAATATAATAGAACCTGAAGTCAGTATTAAAAGGTTTACAACCTAATTTAGTCGTTAATAAAAGTACACATCTCTCATTACGTGAGAAACATGGCAGAATAAATGCAAAAATTTGAAAACTGTTGCAGTGCAAATGCTGAAAGTAATTTAAAGTGCAACAAAAATGCTGAACAACAAAATTTTTGCTTAAGGGATGCCAGAAAAGTGTGGAAGGTGATGATGACAGCCAGATTCTACCTTCTTTAAAAAAATGGAGTATTTTCATCTAGTTAAGACTTGAAGTTGAGAACAACATTTCCTATAAATGGAGGATTAGACTCAGTATTGGTTGTCCTTGTAAACTAGTTGAAGGCTACAAGTGGAGGCTACAAAAGGCAGTAGGTTATACACAATTAACATTTTGGCAAAACCTTGAACTAAAAAATTGTTGTAATTCTAAAACTTTCCAGTCAATAGCTATTCTTAATAGTCTGTATAGGAGGGACTCAGAATAACAGACATGACTATTTTGAGTAAATTACCACACAATTTCAGAAATTAACAGAGGTCTTAATCTGAAATGACTGAGGTCAAAAGAAATACCCAAGGATAGGCTGTTGCTGCTGAGAGAAAAAGAAGAACTGAGGTTCAGGCTCCAGTTCATTGTAAGACTGATGGGGTGAGACTGCAAACTGCACAAATTGCTGTTTGGTTCTGTACTCGGACCTAATGAAAGTTAGTTTAAGAAAGAAAAAAAAAAAGAAAAAAAAGGCAGGGGACAGGGAACAACACTGTCAGGTTCTTGCTTCATGTAGCTCAGTGAACTCCAGATAAGAGTGTTTCTCTTTCAGTGCACAGGCAACCTTGCAACTGAAAATAGACCACTGTAAGAACTATGAGCTTATAACACGAGAAAAATAATTTGCTATATTAAAAGATGGGTCTGGAAAATAGGAGGTGGCACAGTAGGGGAGCCAGTATTTAACATAAAAAAGATAAGAGCACTACAAAGCTTTATTACCTAAAGCTTTGTTAAAGGGACCAGATGGGGTACCTGTGTGCACAGGGGGTCTCAGAAGTACCAAAATAACTAACTTATTTATAGACTGAACCCTCCAAACACACCAGGTATATATAAAGCGTATATTATTCTATTAATCCACCTTAAAACAAACGGGTTGAAAGCACAAGTTCTCTGACACAGAAACAATGTTTCCCTCTTCATTTCAAGATGGCATTGTGCACTTGGTGGGACTTAAACATAACCAGCATCTCTCTTGTAATTTGTTGGTCGATGTCACTGTCTTTCTCTGTATAAGTAACCTTCTTTGGACAGCCAAAGTAAATGGTGATTCTATATATTATTTGATAATCTAGGAAATTAAAGCAAAGCTTGCTGGTAAATAGGAGAACAAGCAGTATTAAAGAAACAGTAAGAATGCAGTTTAAGAACAGCAGCAGCATAGCTTAGGGGAAAAGGAAGCCTGCTACAAAGTAGCTGCAAATTTGGCTATGTATTACTTTCTTTCTACTCGATGTTTCATGTACACACATAAGAATATATGCATCAGATGAAACAGTGTATATATATAAAAAACTCAAGAGAGGACTATTGCTTTCTGGCCATTGAGGCACTTCTCTGATGGGAATTCATAGACAAATAGTACCAACTGTGTCCTAAAGATTATAGCACCTTAGAGAAGCAGCCTGACTTCAGCAGACTTTAGGTAAGATTGCTTTTAAGTTTTAACTTGGCTGATTCTGGGAAGTTCTTGAATTACAAATACCTGTTCTATTTTGGAGAGATTTCTGTTTTTATATCTCCTACGTTGCTTTTTTTTCCTTCTTATTTCACAACAGGTTTCTGCAGAACAGTTAGAATTGAAACTCAAACATACCAGTAGTATTTGCAGGGTGTCATCAAATACTGAACAAGAAAACATCTGTGCAGGGTTTTGTTAAAATAGTAGAGATACTTCGAAAAAGGTTCAATTTGCAGGGACATAATGAATGCAGAAAAAAGGATGTTCTTTTTCTCTTTTAGAATTGTTTACCAGGGGGTGGGCAATGTACCGTATCTAGTACTTTAATTGGTAAATAATAAGGGTGATTTTCAAAGCAGTGCCAACAGAAATACAACATTTTATTAAGTTTGGCATGTACATTTTCCATTTTTGATTCGCAGTATCTTCCTATGTATTGTTAATGTAATGAAGAAGGATATCTGCAAGTCCAAAACAGCAGAGAGATTGACACTTGTAGCTAACTGGGCTACTATTACAGAGTTCCCTATTTACACATTACCTACCAAAGTCTTTCCCGCAAAAGCAACCCAAAAAAAGCCAGTTTTCTACAAAGTCTTGACCAGTCACTGAAAATATCTTCCTCTTTTATTCTCCCTCTCTGCAAAGGATCACTATGCAAAAGGGGGAGAAGAGCTGTAAAACAACTGAGAAAGGCAACACTAGAATTATTTGCCCTGTAGCCACTTCTTGGCAGATGATCAAAATGACAGCAAGTGCTCCTCCAGATGCTTCTAGAGTCCCACCTTCCCTCCCCACTATCAAGCACAAATCTTTCCCTGAGCCAAAAACCTCTTTGAATGAGCCCCAGCACCATGGAAGTGCTGCAGTTTGCCATGATGCCATCATTCCTCATCTGCTCCAAATCCCCAGCATTCCTGATTCAACTCCCTTATCTCTGAGGAACTAATGAGAAGCATCAAATTTGTTAAGACTGATGTGTCACCACTTGCACTAGCTGTATCTCACAGAGTAATACACTAACTTATCAACACAGTGAAAAGCCCAGAGGTGAAAAGTAAGGCCTGAATATGAAATTATTCCTAAGTGTGCATTAATTAAATTGCAGTTCTCAATGTGCATTATAGAATCACTGAAGGTAACATTTCTTTAACTGTCTACAGTATAAAAAGTTAGGTTCCAAGTATAAAAGGAAAACTCTACAGGAAAGTGAACAATATAAATATCTCATATAGTTTAAGAGAAAGCTTTTACCCTGGGCAGCTGCTAGACAAAACCATCTTGTTTCTAAGTGCGTAATTTAAATTTATGTCCAAATCAAATAATAAGTCACTCCATTTGACAGTGTGAGACTTAACTTCTGAGTCCAGGCTATTAATCAGTATGTCAAAAGAGAAGCAGAGTAATTCAGAGTAAATGTTCTACCCACGATACGGAGCAACTAAAGACCTGGCTGAGGCACTTAATGTACAGTTGGCTTTAGAAACAGTTAAGTTTAATACTGAAAAACCTATTTCCATTATCTGTGTTTATTTATGAAATTTATCAGAAATGCAGAGACAGTCTAGAAAACCAGTACAAAAAACCCACAACTGCCTCATTTTTCTCCTGTTACAGTAGAGAAAGCAGCTTCCCGTTAATAGCTAAAGCCAAACTGGCACTTGGGCAAAATGCCTACTGGGAAAACAACATGAGGTTGGCTCACTGTGTATATTCTTGTGGTTTTCACTGACTTCTCTTGGAAGGACATCAGATGTAGCTTCCTGGTGGCAATAAGACTATTCATACAGCATGCTGCAAACTGCCTGCCATCCTTGTTCCATCAAAGCTCAGGAATGTGTTTCAGTGCAAAACACCCAAGAGATACACTGATTGAATGAATTAAAGACTTAACAGAAAAAAAGACTCAGCTGCACTAATCCCTCTCAACTCAGGAACCCCTGCTACAGTTTTAAAGCTGCTGCATCGTCCAACAGAAGAAATTGCCTTTGTCTTCTCTGTTGCTTAAAACTAAGCAAATAGCTACACACAGAGCTAAACACTGGAGGAATTCAGGGGCATAAAAGACTCATGCAATTTCTTTTTTTGAAAATTAGCTTTTTTCGAAGTACTCATTTTCAAATAAATTAACTGTAGGCAAGACGAATGTAAATTACTATATTGTTCTATCCTCCTGGTAGGCTCATATTATTAACCCAGTTCATGTTTTCAGATACCTCTTATAAACTCTTCTTTTTCATCAAGGCTCATTGTAATAAAACTTCAGAACCAGCATGTCAATCTGTCATCTTCCTTCAACACATTTCACAAGTGAATACTACACAGCAGGAAATGTGTGCAAGATACAATACAGTAAGTAGCACAGATAGAAAGCACCAGGCTTGAATCAGGAAGTAAGACTCACTTGAGAGGGTGTACTTGTTAGCTCCATCTTTTCTTGGGATTTTTCCTTTGCTAGTCGTGCAGCTTCTTTGAATTCCTGAAATTTTTCAGCAAACTGAAGGTACGTATGTTTAAAAAAAAGGAAAAAGAGAAAGAGTAGGCGTGAAGCAGTACATTACATGCAGAACAAAATGCTGTACTTAACATTTTACAAAGTCAAATTCTGTCAGTGGAATGTATCAATTTTTCTCCTTAACAGATGAGTAACATAGTGATATACCTTTCAGACATGACGTACACTGCTTATATGTCACAAAAACAATAACGGAACCAAGTTTGATCTTTTGCTGATAGTGTTTAAAACCTTTACTTCAGACATGACTAGTAATAGTGACAAGCTGCCTTACACAGCTGCCTTCAAATTCAGGTTTTACTCTCCCCTTTGAAAACAAATGATCTGCTTCTGAAGCCTGCTGTGGTCACTATTAGCCTGGAGCTTTCAATTGGCTTAGTTCTTCCGTGACTGAAACAACACTGGCATCTTCCCAAATTTTACCAGCAGTTATAATTTCACTAAGTAACTAGGAAAGAAGCAGTGGGAATTTTTAGTCAAGTTCATTTCTGGATTGTTCATTGACATCAATCAAGTTAAAGAACACATTAACTGAACTCAACACTTGCATATACTGAACACTAAATTCAAGAATTGCACATTGAACTGCCATATGAAGCTTGATTTCTATGCTACATGTACCTCTTCCAGAAAATAGCTAAAGCAGCAATTTAGAAAGACATGCTCCCTTAAACTTGGAGAGATTAAATCAATTTATTAAGAACAGGGCCTAGTTTCTCTGCCTAGAGAAAAATTTGCATTCGTAGATCTCAGCTTGACACTACACTAACTGCTGTAGTAGCCAAGCATTTGTTTTTGTTTCCTACTGTTTTTATATAGGACATCATCTTATTATGATCAGCTTAAGACTGAAATTATTCTGCAAAAGTACTGGAAGCTTCACCATCAGCTTCTAAATCTCTCCAGGAGCAGCACACAAAGAAATTGTTTTGCGCTGCACGTATTATTGCACTGTCTTACTGCAGCCTTTCTGAACTTAAAGGGGGAGTACAAGAAATATGGGGACCAGCTTTTTAGCAAGGCCTGTAGTGATTGGAAAAGGGGTAATGGCTTTAAACTGAAAAACGGTAGATTGAGGGTAGATACTAGGAAGAAAAAAAACACAATGAGTGTGATGAAGTACTGGAATAGGTTGACCAGGTAAGTTGAGGATTTCCCAACCCTGGAAGTGTTCAGGGTCAGGTTGGGCAGGAACTGGAGCAATTTGGTCCAGTTGAAGATATCCCTGCTTTCTGCAGGCAGCTGGACTAGATGACCTTTGGGGGCCCCTTCCACCAAAACTATTCTCTGGCTCTATGATTGAGAAGGGATGCAGGCTACCCTTTGTGTGACACAATCTCCTTAACTATCTTCATTCAGAACTTCATTTGCTACACAAGATCTAAAAAAACCCTTGTCTTTAAACTTCTTCACCTAGTAGGATATTAGTAGTTGAGGAAATACGATTCTTCTGTGCTTGTATCCTGTGTTTCACCTGCCAAGTTGCTTAAAAGCATGTTTCCTAAATATAGGAGACAAAAGATACCATCCTGAAAGTCTAATCCAGCATCAAAAAATGCTTCAACACAGCTGACAAGACTGGCAACAGATCACCAGAACTAGATAATACTTATTTAAGACTTGTACATAGATCTGACAGGTAACCTAACATTTAAATCAGCTTTAAGACTAGAACATTGGTACACAGAAAACATGAGGCTGAGGTTTAGACTAAATGGCTGAAGATGTAATAAGCAGTAAATATGATCTTCTGTATCAGTGGTAGAAATTGTAAAAAATATATGTGATAGACAGATAAATAGATAACATTCTAAGAAAGAGCCAACAGGGTGAATGTAGTGGAAGTTCTCATAAATTTACTATAATTGCTTGAGATAAGTCAGGTGATGGATAGTAGCAATCCCCTGATAAAAATTCCTGAGTAACAAATACTAAATCTCATGGTATGAAGAAAAGGTTCTCTGAAAGAACAATATTTTAAGGAAAAGCTGAAAAATTCTAAGAGCCTCTTGAAGTCTCCCTGCACAAGTACCTGTTGTGGCACTGTTGCCATTTAGCACACTCTTCAGTTATACGGAATAAATCAGGTCAACTACTTCAAAGGGGTAAGAGAGACTGCAAACCTGAAAAGGAATCAGGCTACTATCAGAAGCAAAGAGTTACATCATGAATGAGAAAGTCATACCAGTTTCTCCTGAAATCATTCCTCCTCCTGCAGCAGCAAGAGGGACCCTGTTAGCAAATTCTGACTCTGTGGAAGGAATCTTTCAGGTATCACTGCCTTCCAATGGAACAATCTTGAGGTGAATTTATGGTCTAGCATGTTGATAAATGGTCTAACGAAGATAAACAGATGTTTAATTAATTTTCTTCTATGCTGCTTGTATAGGGAGTTGATTAGAGTACCATTATTGTTCTATAAGATTCTCTCAACTCCACTAGTTCTCAGTCACAGTAACTGTACAGAAAGAGGTAACCACTGTTGCACTCCACCCTGATAATTAGGTAAGGATGACAAAGAAACGTGAACCAAAACAAATAGTCCAAAAGTCAAACATTTACTTTAAGCTAAACAGAAAATTATCTGAGAATAAGCAGTTTATTCTACCTTCTCTGATTATATTTGCTTCATAACCTGTTGAAATCAGTCACAGACTAGACTAAATTTCTGTGGTTGCAGGCTGATTTTTGACTGCTGGAACCTGAAATACTTCACTGGGGCCCACAGACACTATTGCAAAACAAATTACATACAGCAGGGCTGTCTGCTTAAGGACTTTGATAAATCAAATACAGAAGAGAAGTTCCAGAATCGATTTTTAAGGCAACTTCTAGAAGCAATTTGTTTCTGAACAAATGAATTAATATAGTTTATTTGTTAGCCTTATAATTAATATCTAGTAGTACCTTGAGCCCTAAATTAGACTTCATGTCTTAAGAGTGCTGAGTGTACCAAAGAGTGCCCTGGCTAATCTGAGTACAATGCCAGTGCACAGAAGTAAGAATTAGTAACCTGAGAAGAGAGACAAGACAAGAAAGCAAATATTGACATGATCTCTCTAAAACTACGCAGCAGAACCAGGGTTTTTAATTCAGCTTTTCTGATTTCAAGACTAACATATATATACAAACTCTGGTGACTTAAACAGACTGTAACTGAAATAAAAGTTTCCTTTCCCCCACCAAATACAGTTTCTAATTTTAAAATAACACCAGAAAAAATGTACCTTTTTTAATTTTAGGAGCAACAACCAGCAATTTCATCTCACATATATATCAGATTCATAATTAAGATATAATACAACAGGAACAACGTGCTGAAAAGGTCCTGCAGATTCACCACCATAAACTTCAGAAAAGGTCTGTGACTTGGTATTTTTTGCAACAGATCTGTGCATTCTTCATAAAACACAGCAGTCTGAGTAACTGCTAATCAAACACGTACTTAACATACAATACCTGCTGTAGTTTTTCAGATTATTTTTCAACAGCAACATGGAGTTTTAAGCCAGAGGCATACTTAAAACTCCAAGACTTCTGTTTCAGAGCACTGAAAGAGTGGCATTTAAACTGTAATTAAGAAGGCAGTAAGTACCACATGGGAAGAGCAGGAAAAGAGTCAAGGGTAAGAGTGAAAAAAAAACACAAAATATTTTAATTGGCAAGGATAACCTGGTGTTTGAAGTCAGGTAAACACAATGTGCTAGGTACTTTGCCTCCAAAGAAGCCTTCTGTGATTAAAGAAAACAAGGTGGTTTATGAAAGAAGCAAAATAAATTAGCATTTATGCTAAATCCACTGCAATATTAATAAAATTACACATTGGTAAGTGGGTGCCTCTAGGACATACATACCAATTTAAGTAAGTGACAAGTGTCCAAGTTCATCAAAACAATGACAGGTGCATAAACACACAAGCAATATTAGTGTCATTCAGAATTTCCTGAGTATGTGTTGCTTCATCAAAATGATAGCTATCTGATTATGAAAGAAATCTTACAACTGTGTCACTTGTCCAAATAAAGTTCTCATTTTAATGGTCTTCCAGCAGCCTACCCTTGGATAGTAACAATTACTTTCTCAAAAGGGCTGGTAAGACATTTTTTTAACAAGCCAATCCCTATTCCTTACTTAAACATGGACAACATACTCCTTTTACTGTGCCTTGGCTTCCAGAACTTTTGGACACTTGAAAGATTCTTTGCTTAACGTGGAGACATGTTTTTAAACTGAACTGAAATTCCCCATCTGGAGAAAAATTACACTGGCTTGTACAGGTTCCTGAATTCATCTACCAGAGATATTGACATTATAAGGACTAATATAGAACATTGTTTTGTAAATTATTTTAAAGTAACAACAGTACTAAGCACTGAGTCAAGATACAATGAGCAGGAATCAAGTATCTTACGCTGCTTGAGTAGCTGAGTAACTACCCCTAGTCATACTTACTTTTGAAAGGTGATGTTCAGATGAAAATCCCAAGCCATAGACTGTATTCGCTCTGCTGTCTGCCCACTGGCCAAACTTCTGAGATGTTTTAGTAAATGTCATGTTGGGGGTGATAGTGCTATTTATTATTGCCTGAAAAAAAGTAATAGTTGTAAAAAAGGAGTTTTGTGATTTATATATATATATTTTTAAGACTACTCATAATTGAAAAAGCCAATACTGTAGTTGATTATCTGTGTTCACTGAATGAGACACAGACTGGGAACTAGGGAATAGCCTTCTAATTCAATCACCGCTAAAATTAAATATTTTTGCATACATTCTGTAAAAGAAGCAAAAATGGGGAGGGGAAGAGGAAGCACCTGTTTGAAAAAGCCATTTAGTAGTTAGCAAGTCTAAAAAAAGGCTTTTAAAGCACCTGCATAGCCTAGTTAGATCGGCATAGAAGAACTAGCAAAGTCCTTTTCAGTCTCGTAAGTGTATTTCTTTGTCCCCTAAGGCAATGCCTCTCAATCTCCACTGTAAGTTTCACTGTTGCACTCCCCCTACTGCTGTTGTGTATGCCATGCTCACTGGAAAACGTAATAAAACAAGAAGTACAATTTATTTTAAAGTTTCTGGTTTACAGTGTTTTTCCTTCACACACAGACAAGCCTGCCTAACAGTGATAAGGTCACATACACCAACTATAGAAGAGTTACTCTTAGAATAATTTTTCTTCTCTAGTTCTTGATACATACAGAATGGAAGAAGCACATCCTCTACCCTACAACTTCTGCTAAAGTAGACAAAAAATGCAACTATTAGATTATATGCTGGTTCTGCTAAAAGCAATTTAAAGTTTTACTATGGATTCCAAGAGTATTTTCACCACACTGAAGTTTCTCTAAAATATTTTTATGTGGAACTGTACAGGTGACCTAAGGTATCGCAGGATAAAGTCTTACACTGACACAAACAGGTTCCACTTAACTAAAAAACCTGATGTTTAGTACTGTTTATAACAAGCCAACATGAACAAGAAACGCTAGCCACAAAGCTGAAGATGTGTTTATGTGAAGTGAAATGCAGACACGCTTTCTCATCTGTCTGATGCTACTAAAAGTTGCAGTCACGTTTGTTAAATAATTCACCGTCCTCATTAATCACTAGTGCTTTGCAAGATCCACATGGAAAAGAACATTCTTAAAACTTCCCAGAAAACAGCACAGTGTGAGCAGAAAAATTCAGCAAGAATCTTTATTACATGCCAGTTACTGTGCTCAGTGGTTACTGTCAGTATGTGTTCTACTGCAACTGTCTCACAGTACTGAGCTGGGAATCTTTTAAACATCAGTGCACATGTTTCCTGCTTCCATGCCATGATAACCTCTGCCTTACCCCTGGCAGGTTAAAAGCCAGTGATTACTGAAGAACCCCAGAGCAGAAACAAAATCCACAGGGTCCAATCCATCTTCTCTATAGCAAACGACAAAATCTTCATTTTATTCTTTGTATAGTAGGAACTATACAGGTTTGTAGAGAGTAACTATTTTCTCAGAATTATGACAATGAGAAACTTCAACATCAGAGAGATCAAGTACTGCTCTTCAAAGCCCAAGAATTTCTAGAAGTCAAAATCAGTCTATACTACTTGTGTGAGACGGCCTTCTGGATGGACATTAAAATTAATAGTTACAGAGTTTATTTAGCACCCTTTGCTTTTGCTGAGATTTGGGTAGCACTGAAGCACAGCTACCTACAACATAAGATCTTCTCTTTAGTACTACAGGGGAAACCTGAAAAAATTTACAGTTGAGAGGCCATTTAAGCCCACAAACAGCTCCTATGTGTATATGGTGATTCTCAGATGAAGTGGTGGAAAGGAATATTGCAAAAAAATTCAGAAGAACACGTATTACAACACACAGGAATACAAGCAGAGATACTGCAGCACAAATTAATAAAATTGGAATATTCTGCAGTGGCTTTGGCAGATCTACTGTACTAAGTTAAACTAGAAAAGCAAATCTGTATGTAGCTGAGAATATCACACAGGCAGTTCTCTCCAATATCCTTTGCATAAAAATGCAAGTTTTGGCTACCGTTGTGAACAACTCCTGGAAGCTTCTGCAATTCCTGAAAACTTACTTTTGAACAAACAAGCCTCATCAAGTAAAAGCAGGATTTGCTGTGTGATCAGAGACTGGAGAACCATCTCCAGCATTAACTGTCCACAAAATGTCTCCTGAGATTTTCATACAGGAAAAACTGGTCAATGCAGCCACTGGTAAGTCAAATATCATGCTCCTTGCTTTAGGCATAAGGTTCAACGCCTAAACAACACAGCAGACTTACGCTTGCACTGTGGCCTCCAACAGACCTCATAAAAAACAGCAGGACATATAACGGACAGAAGAGATAATGTCAGACAGGGATGTAGACTTCTTGGAAAGGAGGTGTTCTTCTCTTGCATGCTTCTTGTCTTCTTGTGTCGTGTTATACTGCTTGGAATCCCACTTCTGAAATAACCCAGCAGAAGCTCAGAAACAGGGCTGTGCAAGTTCATTTAATGCCCAATCTTTCTTGTTGTGGAAGCTCTCAAAAGCAGCATGTTTGAAATCCAGTGTCCTGGGGACAATGTAAGAGGGAGTCTTCCTCCCATCTCAAGCTCTAGCTATGTTGTCTAGCTTGCTTAAGCCCTAGATCCATCCACAGTTTGATTAATTTGAACTTACACCACAGACAGAAAAGTGTGTGTATTATGTCATGGACACAACTTCCCCAATGCAGAAGCTGACTCTGAAGACTGGGACCTTATGATCTCCAAGCAACAGGTAGGTTTAAAGCCTTCAAGAGTGGCATTTGCTGCAGTGACAGTAACATACCTGTTTGCAAATTAACTCAGTGAAATGCCATGGAAAAAACAACCACTTTTTAGCTGAGCCTGCTGACTGCTTTAGTTGACCACATGGCTGGCTACAGAGGAGAGAACCCAGAAAAGGCTGTCTGGAACAGAATGGATTACCTATTTTGACAGCAGTCTGCATTTAGGCTAGATTATAGCAACTACCAAATTGCTTCCTTGCAAGGGAGAAAGGTACAAAGAAAGCTTTTTAAAACATAACTGTATTAAGAGTTACTGTGATTCTTCCTCTTATTTTCCAGCAGAGAAAATAAAGGAGGTCCCACTCCAGTGGACAGCATTAGTCCAAAGACAGAAAGTTTCTCACTGGAAAGATTACTTCAGACCCCAGTGATACAAAAAAGATCCTTTTCATTAGATTTACCAGCTTCACAAGGAAATAAATGTTTTCAATCCTCTCTGAATTAAAAGCTTTGGTATGCCAGATCTCTCATGCGCTAAATTAATTATGCTTTTTAAAAAGAGTAACGCTAGAGCATGCTACAGAGTCAGTGTCAGCTACTTCTGGAAAATACTAGATATGAATCCTTCATTACCTCCAGCTTAAAAAAAAAAAGGTTTATTTTTTACATTAAAATTTGTAATGAAGCCTGTCTTATCTACTCAAATAGGTATTGCTTTAACTGCTCTCCTGTATGCCAGATTTCACCAGCATAACAAATGTCAAACATTTCATCAACTTTAAAGAATGTTGTTAGTATAAATGTACAAGAAGATTTTAAAAACAGAACAGAGTCAATCTGACAGGCAGACATTTAGCTTTTGAAGAAAACCAATTTTGTTATATTTAGATTTTGTTGGAATAATAAAATAGCTTTCATGTTTTGCTTTCATATTAGGTTAGCTATGAGAAAATAGGGCATGTGTCTTAGATGTTTGTTTTACTGACTGCAAACCTAAGAGCTGCAAGATATGGAGCAGTGGACAAATATTATTTTATCATGTGCTAAAACTCATTACAATGCTAATAAAGACACCTGGTCTTTTTCATCTTCTTCAAAGGGAGATCACTGAAGATCTGTCCTTGCACGCCTTACTTAGAACCTGTATTTAGCATTAAACAGGTTATCACTTTAATGTAATTAATTTTTATAACAGACATTAAAATTTAAAGATCACCTACTAACACTGATGGGAGACTTGACTCAGAAATGATATATACAAGGCTCATGGCACCTATAGACTGGAAAACTATTATTTTCCTAGATCTTCTCTTCTTTTAGATAAGCACAAATTATTACGGTTTTCCCCCTATCTTGAATCTGTGAAAAAAACTATCAGAGAGTTAACTAGTACTGCAGAAGCCACATTACTTCATCTCCTTTTTCTCACTAACCACTAGAGATTGAATAGAAAAAGAGCAGGATTCTGGGAATAATCCTAGTGTCTCTCTGCAGTGTTACTGGAGAAATAATGGAGGCTTCCTTCCATTGCCTAGGAGAAAGAAGTACTAAATCACATTCTTCCAAGGAGCTATGAAATGACTACATAATTAATGAGAACTGAAAGCCTTAGCAACAACTGTTCAATGTTGTCATGTTGTACTGCATAAGAAATTCTATTTTTCAGGATTTCTCTGGATTCCTAGATCGGAAGGAGAAAAAGGCTGCACAAATACCATTTACTGAAGCGGTCAGAGAAACCAGCCCTGAGTTCTATCAGATTATTTGCACCAGGATCCCAACCATGGGCAACAGGGATCCAGATAGTGTACAAGACTATAAAATACAGCCTGTACACTGAATACTTTACAGTTTTACAAAATTTTCTGGAGTCAAGTTAGAGGAATACGCACAATTTTGTGTGCAAGGTATTTTAAGAGAAGACCTTACCTTCAGAAAACATTACACAGATTGCACTAAAAATGAGTGGAACTTGCTTCTCTAGGACCTATCTCAGCTGAATCCAGCTTATAGACCCATTAATATGGAGTAAGAAAACTGCTCTCTTTCCAAATACACCAAAGACCCTGACAAGCAAATTCCAGTGGGAATCTGCAATGTACAATAGCATCTCCCAGAGATGAGTGAAGATCAAGCCTTAAAAATGCCCTTTTGTTTTCAAGAAGAAAGATTTAACTTTCAGAAAATCAGCAGAGTTAGGTTTTAGGAATCCTACTGAAACCCACTGACCTACAGAGAAAGAAGAGTGCAGGACAAAAATAGCATTATCACTCAGACCTTAAGTATATCTCTGTCAGACTTTCCTTACTGCAGCATAAGTAAACCTTTGTGTGAGTTGCTATCACTTACTGACTTACTGCTCAACACCTGAGTCACTGGAACTGAGCAGCCACATATAAGTCATTCTCTCCTCCATACAAGCCCACGGGGTGCTGAAAATACCACCAGCCCCATGGTACACAGTAAAACCTAGTCGGATCCATTCCCTCCAAGGCAGAGGCGTTAACAGCTGCAAAACCAGTGTGGTTTGAGAAGTGGTTTTGGCCACTGGAAGCATGTGTTTTTAAGAAATTTTCAAGGTAAAATTTGTTTTAAAACAAAACAAACAAAGTCAAGAAAAAAACCAAACAGAAAAATAAACAAACAAAAAACCCATACCAAAAAGACCCACAACAAAATAATCTTTATTCAGCTTAATTTCAAAACATCTGTCTGACCAATCAACAATATTAGGCACTGCAAGCTCAGATACCAGTAACGTTACTGACACCCAGCTGTATGTCATATACCAGAAACACTAAATGTTAAGAATTTATATTTAGCCCTTCATACATACTATATTGTATACTTGCAGACACATTCAAAAATATGGAGTTTTACTTAAATATTTAAAAAATCTCTGGGAATTATGCTGAAAATGTCCTTAAAATTCTTCCATGGGTCTCCCTGCTATTCACCTGTTTATGTATCAGTGTTTTTATACCTAAAACAATGGTTCTTTTTAAATCGTTACTGGGATCTTAGCTCTTAGACATCCAACACGTGGATGAAAATATTAGTAGGATTGCAGCAACCATAGTGAGAGTACATAAAAGTGGTAGATTGCATTATCGATACACTTTGCAAATAGTACTGCAAATGTAAAGGAAATGCTTAAGTAGACAAAAGAACAAATAAACAGATTAACAACTACTTAATAATTTAACTCAGCAGCTACTTTGCAGGAGTTGCAACTTTGGACAAAAGCAGAAGAACCCCAGTGGATACCAGAATAAGGATTTTATGAACTGTGCAGATCAGTTGAGATGCTACACATTACTACTGGTAGTTTTTCTTTCATACAGCATCTGGTTCTAATTCTAAAGCCTTTATTTATAAACAGTCACACAAGAAGTTATTTTAGTGATTTGACAGAACTAAAAGAATAATCTGAAGGAATGCTAGGAAGGGAAGAAACAAAGCATGACTTAAACATGGAAAGATTCTGGTAGGCTTTGATACCAATCTTAATCACTTGAAGTCATGTAATAAAGGGAACTATTTCTATATACTTATTTATCATAGAAATTATCCTTCCTCAATTAAAATAGCAATACTCTGGATAATAAACAAAAATAAACAAAAAACTATACACACACACAAAAACAAACAAACAAAAAACAACAGAAAAAAACAATGCAGGGTATTTATTTTATATTTCAGCTTTCTATACATTGCCACAAAAAAACTGCTATGAGTATTTCAGTTCCAAACATCATGAACTGATGCACCTCCAGAAGTTGCAAATTAAAGTCTCTTGAAAGGATTACAATTTTTTTGTTACACTTTATACACCTTTAATGTCCTTATTGCAGTTTTCTGTTGTTTGTACAGTTACTGTTTTCATACCCATTTGGGGTAGAACCTAAACAACAGCAAAGCATTTTGTCCATGCCAAATTTGTTTCTTCCACTAGGTTTCTTACAACAGCAGCTCAACAAATTATCCTTACTAATAAAAAAATTTAAAAGGACAAAACCAGAAAAAAACAACCCCAAACCAAATGAGTTTTGATAACAACTTACCCTGAAGAGTTTTATTAGAAGAGAATCCTCACATTCTCTACAGCAAAATTGGAAGTTTACATAATGAAGGATTTACTAAGTGATTATGGGCAATGAACAGATGTCCTTCATAATGCAGAAGCCAATGATCTTGATAGACCATTGAATGTGGAGACAAAATCAGGTTATTGCAACCCTATTTGTACTTTTTTGTGCATCTCACGGGGAATATCTTTGTAGTTTTTTCACAATATTACCTATGTAACAGGTCATCACTTAAATTCAGCAACAGACTTATAAAAAAAATGAACACATGGAAAATACATTTTTTTAATAAACACTGAAAATATGTAATAAAGTCTTTAAGACATGTAATGAAGCCATGTTACCATTTTAACATGACAGTAATCTGTTACTCCGATAATGACAAGAGCATTTGAGAAGATAGACAAAGCACATCAGACTAGAAAATAAATACAAAAATTGACAAAGCAAGAAAGTTCTCTAACTTAACACTTACCTTTGAGCCATCCAAACTGATTATCCTGTAGACATTTCTTGTGCTGTCATAGAAGTAGGACACAGTAACAGCATGCTTGCTGGTGGGAACCCAGTTCTTCTTAGTGTTTGGGTCAATCTGGAAGACGTGAGCTCGGGTGCTAAAGATGGGTTGTTCTCTAAGGATAGAGAGTAAAAGTTGCTTATCTGATTTGCTTATAGTATCATTGCACACCAGTTGTCTAACAGTTGTGCCAATCAGGATGTACACATTTAACTTTGCATGATAAATCTTTCCCCAGAACTTCTGTATGTGCTACTGCACAGAGCAGGTATGTTCATTAATATACATATGCAAGCAAAATGCAAGTCTTCTAAGGCAAAAATCAGAATCTAGCTGTCGAGTCAGATAAAGGCAGACATCCCTAATATAGATTCAGCCCTGTCCCATCGTCTCCCCATCCCTCACCTTCCATCTATCCCTTCAAACTAACTAGCATAATACATGTATAGCTTAATCTCATTACACTGCACACTACAGAATGTTGATGACTTCAGACTCGATCTTCTCAAATTAATACTCTGATTATTCTAATCAGTTTTATGCCATAATCTGAAACTGAACCAGCTGATTCAATGCAATTACCCCAAACCAAACATTAATTAGACCAGGAACATGTGCTGTGAAACCCTTAATCTTTGGAGCTTCATACCTGAACATTTTCATAGCAATATTAAATATATATAACATGCATGGTTCAAAGCTACTGTTTAGCAAATGATATTATATATATGGAAAAGAAAACCCTACATTAGAATTTACAATTTACTTTCCCCATGATCACTATCAGGACATACAGTATTGCACAGAAATCTAAAAATATTTTAGCATTACTGAGAAGATTGACAGTTTGAATTTAGCTACCTTTTAGTGACAAAAAGATTGCTATATCCTTCAGTGAATGTTGCCATCAAATCCCAAAGATATTAAGTACCAGAACTTTAAGTTGGATTTAACATTTTAGGTTTTTGTTTTCTGCCATTTCCAGGATGTGAAGAAACATATCCTTTGACCCTGCCCTCATTTCCTTTTAGGAGATAAGTTTTTAATACCCTTTTATGCCAAAAATAAAAGCAAAATTAAAAAATGGGATTTTGGGTACTCATAGTTAAAGGATTTAACCTGGCCTTGTTACAAATAGGTACATATGAACTCTTGGAAATATCTCTACTGCTTGGCAGCAAGAGCAGCTGAGACCAACATTCTTTCAGATTTTTATTATTCAGTTGGGAGTTAAGGCTCCTCGAAGCTCATCTGCCAGAAGATGTGGTGTTCTGATATTGGATATTGGAAGAAGTGACAGAAAAGATACAGAACAGATCAAAGACAGCAAAACAGATAGTTTCAGTGAATGCCAAAGAAGAAAGAAGGCAGGCCAGGGGGATTAAAGCACATGCTAGTCCTCCATACAAATGTCACTGTACCCTCAGCAACAGTTCATCTTTGCCTTCTAAATTACCAAACTATAGGAAGCTGGGTGGCTGCTTCCCTCATCCCAATCATTTGTAGAGCAGAGGCTATGCAAAGGTGACTCTTTCAGAGCCCTTTTATTTAACAGAATCTTTACACTAGTTCTCACCACTGTTTTGAGTATCTACAATTACTTCTTCCATCACACTTAAACTTTAGTTCTTGTATTCAGTATCAGATACTTTTTGCCTTTACGTCTCAATTTAGCACATCCAAATGCAATGTGATGCATAATACTATGATGCAACCAACTATTTAGCTCTGTAGAGTTAAAGAGCCCGTTAAAACAAAAATCTTAGAAGCCTGACAATTACTTGTATGAAGACTGACACTGAAAGAAAAAAATAAAGGCTCTGATCATAGTAACTAAAGATGGAAGAGCTGAATCTGTGTGTGATTAATGAAACCACAACTGACCAGCACAGATACTGAATTCTGTCACAGTATAGTATATGACTGTGACTTACAACACACCATGGATTATTATTTTAATATGAAAAAAGGTAGTAGAAAACTGTATGACTAAAGCAAGTGAGTGTCAGTAAAAGTCTGACTGTTCAGCCCCAAGTTGCTACTCTCTTGTACTGTCAGCACAAAAATCTTCCCCAACTAAATATCCTCAAGTTGTTTGATGAGGTGGCCTGCACGATCCTGCTGATTGCTCAGCAGCGTTGCCCAAAGATAAACCAGAGCACTTTGCAAGGCAGGTCTGTGTGTCTAGCACAGACATTACAATTAGGTATGGAAGTGAATAATTGAAGCTTACTTACACTTGCTACATCATGTCTGATAAAACTACAGTTACAGTATTTTCTCTCCATGTTTTAGGTGAAACTACAGCTTTTCTGAATGGCAAGCGGTCTACTTTCTATGGAAAGAACACGGCTCCCTTCATTAAACTAGTTGGGTAAATAATTATTTTGCCAGATTACTGGGGTAATTAGGACTTTTTTCTGACAAAGACACTAAACTTCAGATGCCTCTAGAACGTGACCAACACTTCGACATTCGATGATGAATACTTATGATTATTTCTTCAAACAAATGGGAGCTATGTACCTTATGTCTACATAACTGAATGTGCTACAGAATCTGTCACTCATGTGCCACTGAAGTCCTTTGAAGCTGCTGTAAAATTAGGTTATCTGTACTTTTCTGTAGCAAGAAACTACAGAGCTACTTATATTTTATATTTGCTAAAACATTCAGAAACAAATAAAGGTAATATACATAACATACAATGATTTGTAACTTCAGATAATCAATCTTTACTCAAACTTTTTGTTCTTCCATTACCCATCATACATGATGCCCTTCCAATGCATAAGTTTCAATTAAGTCAGCTGCATTAACACTAGATACAGGAGTATTAGTACTAGTTAAATAGAAGAGTTTCTTTTTTACCTTTGTAAATGCTCAGACAGTAATAATAAAAAAAATTACAATATGCATGCTATATATATTTGATACATAAAAATTTTAAAATCTACTTTTGCCTACATAGGAAAAGGAGAATAGCTCTAAATAAGAAAAAACAATCCTTTAAAAACCCCTACCTCACATGCGTGTTTTTCCAGGTGGCAAATTTGCACAGTGTATTCTGAGCCTCTACAATACTTGCCTTCCAAGGCAGTTTCTCCCCTTATCAGACAACATGAGTGCTGGCATGATCTCTCACATATTTGCGAATTACCATCAGGTTTGGGATAGGACAAAAACCTTTTTGCTTTTTTCAAAAGCATGACAGTATACCAAGACACTACAGCTTTCCCTTAATGCCTCCCTACAGTCTTAAAAATTACCATCCTTAACTTGTTTTTGAAGCTGTAGTAATCTTTTGTTACTCTAAGCAGATTGAGGAGTGAACCCTGGAAAGAAATGAGGAGAGGGATTAAAAGTGCAGCTACAGTCAAAAATTAATCTGTCAGCTATGGCATCCAGTCACAGCCAATTGCATGGCTTCTTGGAAGTCTGAGTCAAAAAGCTCTGCAAAAACAACTCAAAGCAACTGAAAAACACAGAACTTCCCTTATTCCTAAAAATGTTCTGAAGTCTGATAAATGTTGTATGTGGTAGAATGGGGGATGTTACTTTATAATATGGGCTTCTTGTTATATGAAACTGTTCTGAAGTAAAATCTTTCTGGACAGAAAATGACTGACAACTGCCATCTTGAATTAACATCATAAAGTACTTGAACAAAACATACCCAGCACACTTATGAAATTACTAAATCCTCAGATTTTTCTTTCTATATTACATACATACAATAACAACTTTCATGTCTCAAAACAAGCTTTGAGACAGTAAAAAAAGTGGAAGCTACAACTCAGCAACCAGATCGAAATCTCTCCCATATCACCAGCAAATTATCTAGTGCTACACTTACTTCTTAGACCTGCTTTTGCTGTTAGATTTTGGGTACTGTTTTGTTCCCATTTAACAATCAGCTCTATCTGAAACCTGAACAAAGAAGTTTCAAAGATGGCAGAAATAAAGAACATGATTTGATGTCAATTAACTTTAGAAGACAATGGGGCAACCCCCCCATTGAACCAATGAAATAGCTTCTAATATTGAGGGGTATATAATTAAACAAAACCATTGCTGAATCCACTTCTTAAACGGCACTGCACTAACATTAGATGAACTGAGTCATAGCTGGTTTTAGAACTCAAATTGACTTAGCAGCTTTAGTCCAGTGAATGGGAAATCACAACATGCTCTAAGATACTGTCCAAGTTGTAAAAGCTGTTGGCTACTAGACATGATTCTGTGATGGGTTTCTATAGAAGTCCCTGGAAAAAAGCCTACAAGAAGACTCCAGAGCACTGGTATTGCTTACAGTGAGGGCAGGTAATCAGAAGTAACAGAAATAGCACAGTACCCATTACCAGTGGAAATGTGACAGAGAACTACATATTAATCCAATTTTACACCTGCATCATTTTGTACCATCCTAACAAGACAGCGCATCACACAGTTTCACGCTGCTCATTCAATAAGGTGCTGATTGTTATTATGGCAACCCCTTTTCCTCTTCTTTACCAAGTTTTGTTTTGTTGTTTTTCTGTTTGTTTATTGTAGGTTTTTTTAAAGTCCTTGGACAAACAGCAGAATTAATAAAAATTGGTCTAACAAAAGGAAACTTCCACATGAAACCTTCCTGCATTTTTGGTAGAACATCTGACCCAAGGGATTCCTCTGTGACTATTAGGAGTTGAACCCTTGCACTGTCATCAAGCATTCTTTTCAATCCAGCTCCTTCTTTTCATAACATTCTCAGAAATCTAGTATCTTTGAAATGTCAATGTCCCTATAAAGGCTAATTGACATTTGAGAGCTATTCAGGCAGGAGGGGGAACAGCTGTACTAAAGAATTTCCTCCAAATGTCTAATAAAAATCTTCCCTCTTTCAGTTTTGATCCATTACCTCTTGTCCTCTCACTGCCAACCCAACTTGTAGACAGTCGCTCCCCAGCTTTCCTGTAGGACCTTCAGGTACTGGAAGGCTGCTGTAAGGTCCCCCAGAGCCTTCTCTTCTCTAGGCTGAACAGCCCCAACTTTCTCAGCCTGTCCTCATAGGAGAGGTGCTCCAGCCCTCAGACCATCTTAGTGGCCCTTCTCTGGATGTTCTCCATGAGCTCCATGTCCCTCTTTTGTTGTGAGCTCCAGAACTGGGCACAGTACTTCAGGTGTCGTCTCACAAGAGCTGAGTTAAAGGGGAGAATGACCTCCCTTGACCTGCTGAAGTCAGCGATTACTGACTTTCATTAGTAGAAAAACTGTCTACTTATGAATATTTGTATAAATAAATGAAGTTTCTGTATGATACAGGAGGCAAGTCAGGAAAGCAAGCAACTTCAAAATGTAGAGCAGAAAACATTTCTGAAATCGACTCCTTCTGATAATATTTTGTCACATCCACTGATGTGGATGGCAGCTTTATGTGCATGTAATCCTGTAAAATAATCAATTCAGGAAAAAAACAACCAGAATCACTCTGTGTATGCCAATCACAACTAAATGCTCAGGAAGCCAATACATGAGAGCTTCCAGAGGAGGAAGGGAGAGAAGAAAGGCAGAGTAGCATTGTACAAACAGGCACTGTTAAGACAATTGCAGACAGCACTTAAAATTTATAGTCATAATATAAAATTGAAAAAGCTGGGATTACCATACCTTGGGAAATAAGGCTCTTGATATTAAACAAAACCAAAAAAAACAACAACCCAGAAATATATTTATGAATTGTAGTGAGAAAATCCATTTAAACTCATTCCTCTTCTGTCTGAGCTTCCTAGTCATCAGAGGCCAGTGTAAGATAGCAATAATTGGTAAATTCTAGTATAGTAAAGTGCTTCTTCCACAGCACAGATTTAAAATTAACTGTAGTACAGCACAGAGATCACAGCCTCACAAACTTAGTAACATCAACCACACAGAAGATGGCAGAGTTGCAAAGCACAGGACAAATCAGTGACCAGGTTCCCACTCTCCACACAGGACAAGAAACAAGTCAGGTACAATGGGCTTACTGTTGGGACAGTGGTGGTGGCAGGACAGGACACTGGTGGCATACCCAGGCACAGGAGAATGGAGCAAGTCTTGGACCAGGACCAAAGTGACTTGGCTTTGCTCTGTCTTTCAGACCCACCACTCGCCTCACTGCAAGATATTCATCTGACCTCTACAACTCTTCTGTGACACGCTCCCTCTTAGACAATACACTTTCCTTATCTATTATTCCCAACTATTTCACTGGCTTTTCCACTCAGGCATCTCACTGACTGTGAAACCCTTCAAAACATCAGAAACAACTTTGTCTCTGATACTCTCTTTTGTCTTGCCTGCCATTATGGCCTTAACATCACATTTTGACATGCTCTGGTCGGTGTTTTTACATACACACATAGGTATATCCATCTCAAAGACAGTACATAGTGTGTTAATAATGAAGCTGGTCACTAATTTTGTAAGCATACTTGGAGCACATCAAGCAAATCAAGCCTGCCCTCGATATCTTGCATTAGGAACAACACCCTCACAGCCCTCCTTGCCCCTCATGGTATCACAAGGCACAGAAAATGCAAAAGCACCCAGAATCCAAGAACTGTCTTCTGTCTCATCCCATCTTCAGACGCTTAACATAAGGTAGGAAAGGCTTTAACATACTAGCTTACATTTTACTAGGTAAAGGGAATAAATTATTGTTATAAGTCAGTGTTAATCCCACTGTATGACAGATGGGTTTAATTTTTACTTAATTTCCAAGGCAAATCTGAGATACCGGTAGGGGAGACTTAAGTGAATTCTCTATTTGCATTACTGTTTCTCAGAATACAGTGGAAACGTGAATTACAGTGTCTGGTCATTTTCCTTCAAAGAAGCTATGGATCATACTCATCCATGATACAGTGAAATCAGATGGGTCTTACTAAATAGGCTCAATGTCCAGATCAACAGAAAAACTCATGTTTTACTTTCTCACAAGTTGAAGAAAGCAAAAACTGAAACATGAAAATTTATGTACATTCTTCAGAGAAAAAAACAGGATGTAGCACACAGGATCCTGCAGTAAAATTCGGCTTATTTAGATTTAAGTCACAATTACACCCGTAGCTCAGGCATTTCATCCTGCTATCTAAGTAGTATTTCACTACTTGCCTGTCCTTGCCATGCTGAACCTATGCTAGAAATCTGCCTCTCAACAGCAAGAACAGTTCACAGTCCATCTCTTCTGTTTTCCGGGGTTCCCAAGGTGGTAAAAGCTTTCCTGCTG